TAACTCACATAAATTAAAAGTTCGAAAGGATGAGATCGGTCAACATATTTGTAATTTTATTCAACCACTAGAAATCATTAGAAATTAGTATAGTATGTCAAAGTAGTATTTGGATCTCATTTTATTTTAAGTTTTTATTTTAGATATGTTTTATTTTAGATGTATTTACATATTATATATGTTGATTGTTTATTACTTATAGTTATTCTGACCTCATGATTTATTTCTTTATTTCAGATTATATAATCCACGCTTTTATTTTCTAGATTCTCGATTTAAATTATTCAAAAGCATAATTATTATCTGAAATAATTTGTCGAATAAAAACTAATATCGAAGAACAGACATACATTGTATACAAAGACATAATTTGTAATCGGCAAATTTGTCATACGACAATGATGTCATATGACAAATTTGTCATATAACAAATAAGCGTGGAATATGTAAGATTTTTTTGTTATTTTTAAGACAAGCATGATTCTTCCTATTTGTAAATGTACATCAGAACCGACCTGGCACCTTGAATATATTAACGTTTTTGTTAATAAACCCATCAGCGCGCGTCCGACAATATCTGTTTCAAATATAAAAATGTAATGTCGTGAATTCAACAATTTTGTTAATTTGATGAAATGAAATTATTAGAGCGGCAAGATCGGCCCTGATGTCTAAAATGTTCATACAATAAAAGAAAAAAGAACGAGAAAAGAAACATTCATAGTTGATCAGGTATTATCAATCTAATCGTATTGATTGTAGCGTCTCCGAATATGGTTGGTAGCAAGCTGGGTCCTCGTATGACTACATTACATGAGGAAACGTCAAATGTAGGAAATCAAGTCTCTACGCCTATTAATGATGATGACGGAGAAAAAAGTGATGCCGATTATTCCGAATATGAGGCATATCAGGTAGCGTATATTCTGAATAAAAAAATATCTATAAAAAATATATATAAAAAAATAGGATAAAAGAAATGTTTATAAATTATAATATTTAAATTAGATATTTAAATTAGATTGCATCGATTCAACGTTAACGCAACTATCTATAGCAAATTCACTTTATAGTAATATCCAGTTGTAGTCACGTTTCGAATCACAAAACTATATAACATGCATTTGCACTCAGACTCCACCGAAACCGATAAAGCCACTAACTTCTTCACGCACGTTGGATTCGCTGGTTGAACTACAATCCACAAAGATCAATACGCCAAGCATGAGTAGCAGCGGATATGGTTCTCAGGCCGTTTCTACGACAAACCTCACGTCAGAAGATTCTATTTCCATCAAGTCCATCAGCGTGGATGAGACTCCAGACCTCGAATATCGTAATCTTCTCGATAGTAAAAAATCCGAGAAAATGGATAGTTCCCTCGTTGAGGAAACGCCTGAAGAATACTTGGGCGAAATAAACTCTGCGTTGGATAACTTGAACGTCTCGCAAAGTATTTGTGCGCAGGGTCAGTTGTACGAGATGCTATAAAACAGCCACTTCGATATTATTCTGTTGCAAAATACATAAATGACTTTTTATCTTACAGAACATACTAGGAAAAATATGGAAGAAGTAGGAACGTACGTGGATACTGATATCGATAGCCCAGTTTCTTCTACAAAAAGCGAAAGCGAAACCAACAGTAACGCATTTCACGTCGAGATTCAAAGAAAGAATACACACGATCAGATTCTCAGTGATAGAAAAAACGAGATGGAGATCAGTCAGACGTCCAATTCGGGAGACGATAGTCCCATGGAGGGTACTTCCGTCGTACATACCAAACTGCCACCTGGCAAGGCAAGTATTTTACATTTTATGTAACAAGAGAAAAAAAAAGGCACTATTGTTTGAAAAATATTATGAAAACTTAAAAGGAATTATCTTTGAATTCTAAAAGTATTAATAAACGATTCGTGTTCAATTGCTTAATTAGGTTGTACGAAGAAGAAAGATCTCGAATGGTACAGGAAGGCCTACCAGTTCGCAGCATAGAGCTTCATTTCCTATGGTCCGTCCACAACTTTCTGAGAGTAAGGCTGCAGTACATTTGGAGCAAACGTTACACTCTAATCTGCCGTATGAAAATGGCGACAATAGTTCTTCGGAGAGAATCGACGGTACTATTAACTCAAACAATTAATGTCGACAACTTTATATGTCCTTCGATAGCATTTTCGATAACAAATAATTTTTAAAAGAATAATACGTGTGCTTCTTTATTCCTATACCGCGCAACAAAAAGCATTTCTTTTACAGCGGATGACATTAGCGATAAAAGTTCAGCGTTTGGTTCAAGGCATGATTTAACTCGAGTGGAAACTCCTCTACCAGACTGGATCGTTGTTGGTGAATCGGTTCTAGTTCGTCCTTATAGTTACTCCGGAGTTATAGCATATGTTGGTCCTACAGAATTTGCATCGGGAACTTGGATAGGAGTTGAACTTGACGCTCCAACTGGTACGAAAATTTCTTTACTATTTCTCTCTCTCTCTCT